TCAGATAATGTTTGTCCGTATAATCATAGCTGTTTGGGTTTCTAGCATTGTACGTTGACGAATAACTCTAGCAATTCACATGTATGACAGTTATTAGGCAATCATTCGACAATCGTAATTCGGCTCATTTCGCTCTAGTGTTTCATTAGTATTGGGACTGACAAAGATACAGATCGCGTTCATTTCACTGCTGTTCTCGGTCATGGGTGCCCGTGTTCAATTATTGTTCAATGGTTTCGATCGTCCGAATCGATAAAGCCGTGTCTTGTTGAATGTCTGTGATGTAGCAAAGTTTTGTTTTAGTGCTGGCTGTGAATAACCGATCTGTGGAATACACCGTGCATTGCATTATTGCAATGAAAAAAGTATTCTCCATACCCACTTTTCATGGCCTAAAATTGGTTTATTTCGATGGGATTCTGAATCAAAATATCTGGGTTTCTGTGAGGGAAGTTTTATTGACAATTCTCATCATAACTCCGAAGGAAGGGTAAATATAAGTATTCAACTTCTCATTTCTTGATAAATTCGTCAGTAATGCATATAGATGATATTTCTCCGAAAAAATCAATGATTAATGTCAAAAAACTTCCACAGATACCCAAATATTTCAATTCAGAGACTAAACGTATTTTTTTGTTTTTTTGAAAACAATAACTTTGGATCATGAAAAGTGATAGTGTGGATAGGATATTTATTTTCATTGCAGCACGGTTTCATAATGCATACCATCGAATAATGTTGATTAGATAACCTTATTACCACCGTTTGATGAATATACTAGAGTAGAAAAATATTGGGATAACTGTTGAAAATGAGCTATATTACAATAGAATGTCAAAGTGTCAGGTTTCATGCAGATATCAGATAACTATAATAAAATGAGACGTATTACTGCGTTACCTCAAGATGGTTGTGCCAGTAATAAAAACATGCTGTTTTATGTCGATAGTCTAATAACCACTGTAGAGTGGAGAGTTACTGCAACATCTTATGGGAATAATTCCTATTCGACATTCTGTGTTATCATAGAAACTAGAACAAGTAGTAGTTATTCAGCAGCGGTGTTTTTATATACAAGTTTGCAAATTGAATAAGCTGCCATAACTACAAGTCACCTGAAAATTCACTTCATCTATGGTAGCAAATGAACACATCTGTCCCCTATTTATTGCAGATATCGTAATAACGGTTATCAGATTTCCAATTATGATAACTCAAGTTTTCTCTCAGTGCAGTCATTTACGCCACGAGTCTTAAAAAATGTGGTAGTATGAAGAAATAATTTAGTTGCTGTACCCGCCGCGCTGATTACATTTTTTTGCCTCCTGTCTCTAGGCGCTAATATCGGGATTCAAACGAAGAAGCGATAACTAGCAACGCTGCACTCCCCCGCCCGCCGCCATTCTATAATTTATGGCAAGTTTACTCCCCAGACGCTACTCAATACTCAATTACATCATATTTTATCTACAATACACGATCAACACCTATAGAGTGTTCGGTTTAGCCACAACAATTAAACATCCTTACAAAAAAGATAATTTAAGCCAATCAAATTTTTTAGAGAGATCGGTAGATATATTCCACTGCTGAAATAATATACCTAGTTAGTGGATTTTTATACAGATTATAATACCTATAGGTGCATGAACAGGGATCATAAAAATATTCATGAATATTCATGAGAGTCGTAACAAAATGATTTTCAGGATGAGTTATTGGGTTGCCCGAGGGTACAGGGTGCACCTCTTGAAATGTACATGAGCACCCATAAACTTTTTTGTTTCAAGAGATAAAAAAAATGGTTAAAACGATTGAATTTTTCATTTCAGCTATGTTTCATGATATACAGGTTTGAATGATAGACATTTTTATTTGTTAGTTGGGTGGAATCAACCTCAACTGGGAGTGTCGATAATATGGTAAGAATGAGTTAACTTTGACTTCAGAATTAACTATACAGGGTTGGTCAAGGGGTCGATTCTTGGAATCATTAGAATAAACTTCACATGCACGTATGTCGAACATCTTAACTTTTGAGATACAGGTTGTCATAATTGAAAATGTGCATAGATTATTGTTTAGACCAGTCTGTACAGTTCCTCGTGATGGCAAAATTTTGTCGGTCATTATGTGACTAAAATAAGAACACGAGGATTTCAAGATGCTACATAATTATTATCCTGTAATCTGAATGGGTGTCTTGATGAGGTTTTCAGAATATCCATCAAATTTTTTTTTTATTCTCTATTTTCCGTTCTTTATCGAAAATGGTGCATCCAATTGGGTTTCAACAAAAGATCTTTCTTTATACAAAATTGAATGGCCTTTTATAACTTCGAATAAAATTAGGAGATTTTCCTTCGTTGCTCACTTTTACTGAATCACAAACAATAATATCCTCCTCACAGTACCACCAAGTATCCGATTGATCAAATGTTATCACTTCATTCTTTGCTTCCGGGATCTCATCAATTATTGATTTGAATATTATTGATTTTGTGTAGCAGTTCCATAATGATTGAATGGATAAAACTCAACATTTTTCATCAACTTTGACACCCTGTATCTCAGAATTCAAAACGTTCACGACACACATCACCCAATATATGGAAGATACTGAATATTCGAATTTGAAAAAATATATTTCGAAACGAAATAGATATCCCAGGTGTTCCCGTGAGAGGCTCACCCCTATGAATTCATTGTTTCTTCAGATAAACAAATAAAATTCGATGTCTAAGTAAAGTACATGAATATGCATTCTTGACGTTTTAAATTGTCTCCTGTCACTTCAGGTTTTACCGGAAATGACACTCACTCCCTTATTTTAAAAGGAACACCCGGCATATTTTCACTTGTTTCACATAGTGAGAACAATGACAATCCATTTGTCACTTTTTGACATTCATCATCCTGAAATTTTCAATTCCTTATTATATATAATAAAAGGGAAAAATAGTTTCGATGGAGTTGAAAAACCGTAGATATTTATAATGTAAACTCAATTTTATTCAATGTAACCAAGGTGGGTTATCACCACATATGATAGGGGCATTTTGTTACGAACAAATTGATACTACACAATCGATAGTTGACAAAAACTTCGAATAACTCCTAATGACACTCTAGATTGATTGATTTGTTAAATGTCAAAATGTGACAAATGAGGTGCCATTGTAGTCACACTGTGATTCTCTATTGAAATAATAAAAAATATACTGGGTGTTTCATTCAAAATAGGAAAGTAACGGTCAATTCCGGTTAAACCTGGAATGTCGTCGAACAAAATCGTTTTCATTAACTATCCTTACACACAATGGATTTGATTTTCTATCTGTACAAACAAGAGAGTCATAGGGGTAAGCAACCTCTGGAGAATACCCGGTGAAATAAGTAATATGGTGTTTTATTCAAGGAATAAGAGTTTTAGCTCATTCTGGTAAAGCAAGAGATCCTGGATATCAAGAAAAAATACGACGAAATACCAATCAACTTTCATATTGAACATTTTCGGCCCTCTACACTGAGAGAAAACTCGAGTTATCATAATTGGAAATCTGATAACCGTTATTACGATATCTGCAATAAATAGAGGACAGAATTTATTTGCTACCATAGATGAAGTAAATTTCCAGGTGGCTTGTAGTTATGGCAGCATATTCAATTTGCAAACTTGTATAAATACCGCTGCTGAATAACTTCCACTTGTTCTAGTTTCTATGATAACACAGAGTGTCGGATAGGAATTATTCCCATATAAATGTTGCAGTGACTTATCCACTGTACAGTGGTTATTCGACTACCGTCATAAAACAGCCTGTTTTCTTTTTTGGCACAACCATCTTGGGGTAACGCAGTGATTCTTCTCATTTTATTATAGTGATCTGATAACCGAATGAAACCTAACATTTTGGCATGCTATTGTAATATAGATCATTTTCAACAGTTATCCCAATATTTTTCTACTCTAGTATATTCATCAAACAGTGGTAATTAGGTTATCCAATCAACATTGTTCGATGGTATGCATTATGAAACCGTGCTTTGAATTACTGCATTGAAAATAAATATCCTATTCACACTTACATATCATGATCCAAAGTTATTTTTTTCAAAAAACAAAAAATACTATAAGTTTCTGAATTGAAATATCTGGGAACTCTGGAAGTTTTTTTGACATTACTCATTGATTTTCTCGAAGAAATATCATCTATATGCATACTGACGCATTTATTAAGAAATGGGAGGTTGAATACTTAGATTTGCTTTTCCTACGGAGTTATGATGAGAATTGTCAATACAACTTCCTCCACAGAAACCCAGATATTTTAATTCAGAATCTCATCGATCATTTTGTTTTCCAAAAAAAAAAAAACAATTTTAGGCCGTGAAAAGTGGGTATGGAGAATACTTTTTTCATTGCAGTAATGCAATGCACGTTGTATTTCACACCTTGGTTCACAGCCAGCACTAAAACAAAATTTTGATACATCACACACCTTCACCCACAAGACACGGCTCTATCGATTCGAACGATCGAAACCATTGAACAATAATTGAACACGAGCACCCATGACAGAGAACAGAAGTGAAAATGAATGCGATCTGTAGCTTTTTCAGCCCCAAAACTAATGAAAAACTAGAGCAAAATTATGAGCCGAATAACGATTGTCGAATGGTTGTCTCATAACCGTCATACATGTGAATTGCTATAGTTATTCGTCAACGTACAATGCTAGAAACCCAAACAGCTATGATTATTGGGACAAACATTATCTGAATTCTCCAATTAGCATAATTCACAAAAACGAGCTATGTCAATGAAAAATCTATATAGACTAGAATTTATAAAATTCTCATAATGTCATAGGAGATTTATTTATAATGGTCATTACAATCAGAGCTGGTAGATATTTTTGATATCCAGTTTCTCTCAGTGTACCTGACCGTTGCGATTGCCTATATCTATGAAGCTAAGTTGGAAGATTTATAACCTGAGCTACATTTCCCTCGGTAAATAATATTGAGGGTTTTTCTACTCCGGCAAGCCTCTTGTCGTAGAGTGCACTCGTTGGAATAGGTTTTTCCATCTGAACCGCAGACCGGGTTGAATTCCAGGGGGCAGGTATCTCCACATCGACAAATAGGGTTTCGGTGTCCATCCAACTGACACACTTCTGGCTCGGCACATTGGGCTCCGGCGCACGGATCTGGAACAAGTGAATATCTTAGTCGTTTTTGTTTTATTTCTTTCGCATGCTCGATTTTCGGATTGAAATGTTTTTCGAGGTCTTATTTATGTGATTCGAACGGGATGAAATCGGGATATATCGACCAGTGGCGTTTAAATATTCAGTTCCGGGGATGCAATCATCAAATTACAGGGTCTCTACATATTGTAATGATATTCTCCTGAGCAGGCCCCAGCAAACATTGAATAGCGGGAGAAGTCCGGCCTAGTGCAGGCTAGTCTGAGAAAGTGACGATGACGGGGTATTGGTAATGGGCCGATGATTTTTCAATGCCAAGTAACCATCAGTTAAAAATACGATGATGAATGGCCTTGTGATGGTAAGATGTCTGGAACTAATTCAATACTAACGAGATCTGGCCCTTTGCTGGCAAATTTCATGTTCGCTACTCGTTCCCCTGGTGGATTTTCTGGGAACGTCTTCATCAACAATCAGCTGATCAATATTATATGTGACTAAGATGGCTGACTCTCGTGAGTGGTGATCGCGTACTATAGTTTGTTTATGTCGAATTAATGTGGTCGTCTCTTTCCCTGGTGGTTATTCATGATGGCAGGAGTATTCTCAATTGTTAATTATAGAAGACGGTTTCTCCAATTACGATGATATTGAGTAATTATCAATCTATACCTACATAGTGTTTCGAATTTCATTATCAAATGCATGTGTTTGGTATCTCGTAGCCTCATATACCTAATGATCATAATAATTGGAATTAGCCCTACTTCTCCAAAAGCAACTATCATTTTCAACTCGTTTGTTGGTATCAAAAGCAATCTTGGGTTATGTGAACCTGTCTATCTATATCAAAGAACTAAATGACAATAAGGTTCCAGCTACAGAAATACCTGTGCCAAGAAAATAACGAGAATTGAAAAGCTCTATGTTATCACGTAATTAGACTATATTATCAAGTTATAAACTCATGCAACTCATAGGCCACTAATATATAAAAAATGATGCATTTTATATCTCAGAAGTACCTCACAACGAAAAATCCACTTTGAAGTAATGCTACCCAATAATATGTAGATACCACATACCAACCAGTAAGCAGAAGTTTCATCGTTGAAGAACAGAGAGGTAAAGAAGATATCATTGTGTCATTCATAAAATTGTTTTCTTGAAATCTGGTATGTGTCTGATTAAGGATGAGAGGGTTATATTGTGGAATAAAGAGGTACTAGAACTTTCAGATCCATTGGACTTCTAAAACCCCTACTCCTCCCCTACCTCGATAGTATGTAACCAATGTCGTTCATTGGCCATTATAGTCCCATCATTTATGTATATGCTGGGCTTGCTATGGGACACTAAATGTGTCGATTATGTTGTACTGGCCTCTTGCCGGGGAACTGAATATGATTGCTGGGTACCCAGCACTGGGACCAGCTGCGGGCCGCAGTGTACTGATACATAGAGTCCCGCATATCGGACCATTCACTGGGCCGCTGATGTCAGGTATGGGAAAAATATATTAGGTCATTGATGCCCTCATATCAAAATGTTTGCTGGGGCGCTGAATCATCATCAAACAGGTGGAATTACATCGATCTCAAGATTGTTTCATAACATTCCGATTATTCCCAAACACCCAATATAGCGCTGCGATAGAAGAGTCTCGATCGTTCGATGAAAACAATTGAAGCGACAGGAAGTGTATGGAAGAGGACAGAATATTCGATAAATCAAGGCAACTAATGAATAAGAGTTAGGATGACACAATCAAGTACTCCGTGTTTTTAAACACTCAAAACGAATAAAGTGAAATATATCAGTTCATAACTATAGTGTCGTTGTTCACCTATGCCCACGAATAACGTAACAATTGGTAGGAGTAGAAGGATACCCCAATGTGCAGTGAACAGAATGTAGCAAAGAAGAAGGAAACGAGCTGAAGGTAATGGACAGGAAACGTGAGTTGGAGGAGAGAGATCACGATGGAACATGGATGAAGGCGACGCTCCAGTCTCTTCTTGAAGAGCATATATGGTAAGCTTCGGTTAAGATCCAGAGACGTTCATAGTGGAGGAACCTGCTTCTGCGAAATCGATGTTGGCTGGGATATCGGAACAGATATCTGCTCAGCGACAGGATAATGCTGCTCAACAAGAGAAGATCGCAGACCAGATGGCAAGTCAGCAGGAGAAGATGTCGGCTCAGCAAGAATCACTGCTGACTTCTCTTTCACATTCACTGAGAGCTTATGGAATAGCTTTCTTCTATTTACCTGCATCTTCTGTCGACCTTCACATTATCCTTATCGAAATGGGAACCGTTCAATGATAATCTCTATCCGATATCAGCTTCTTTCTGGAAAATTCAACTGGTTTTCGCTGTTGTAATAATTGACAGAGAAAATAATGAAAATCATGAGTCGAATACATGGAGGATAATAGGGGATACAGCATTTTTATTAAGAATTATTTATATTTGACTTTTTTTACTGAATGCAACAATGTTGGTAAAACCTCATTATTTCTGATATCCAACAAATAGTTCACTAATGATTAAAAAGGATATATCTTATGTCGTCGAGTACTATTTCAATATTGTATTCGTTACTAAATATCTCGATAATGACCATTCTAGAGGATTAAATTTAATTCCATCGGTAAGTTAGCGAAACGCTTAATCTGGAGATTGCCACTTGTTCACTGAAATGGATATTCAGATTCGCGAAGTTGAAACGAAAAAAGTTTTGGAATGCGAAATAAATCTGTATCCCCATGAAAAAAAAACTTCTGACGAAAACTTCAGATCTCTCTTATTTTTTGCCTGATGGATTCTCTCATTCGATCGCTCTGCGCGATTTGATTCATTCTATCTGTTTTAATTAGAAATCGGGGATTTATATTTCACTTACAAAATGCCCTTCAATTAATTTTTAGTGTACACATATCGGTTGACAGTATCCAGTGAAATCATGTAGCTATTTTTTTGTGATAAGTATGCAAATCCACTGGAATATATCAAATGTAGAGATTTAAATAAATAATATGAATCTAATCGAATTTCCAGGTGAATGAATAGTGCAGCAGGATGTAACAAATAGAGTTGAAAATTCGTTGCACAGATGAGTTTGTTCTGATAACACCCACATCAGTTAGACTTTATTTGCAATTGACAATTTTTAGGGGATATAGGTTCAGGAAATTTTGTTTAAAAATCAATTCAACAAATGGAAGCATCAAAAATTGAAACAAGGCTGAGTTTTGTTTATAGTTGTACAAGGAATTGATGTTCATCATACAGGACGTGGAAAGAAATTCTGATTTAAGAAGACCCAATTATACGATTCTGTTATTGAAGGTCAGTAAAAAAACAACAAATTTCCATCTTATAAGTTTGAGGGATGTGCTGACTAGGCCTGTCAAGTTCGTCGGACTGGTATTGCTAGTAATGAAATTAGAGCAGAGATTTCTGAGGAACATTTCCTGTGAAAGTATCTATAGAAAAGTGGAAGGTCACTAATTTTTTTACGGTGTCAAGTTGGTTGATTTGATTGACTTTACTCGCCATATCCCACGACGACCATTGAATAACGTCTATTGAACACACAATAATTATTTGAAAATGAAATCTTCCAAAGTTGAATTCTCAATGTAATTCTTTATAGATTTCAGAACAACAATTCAAAACGATATCTATCCATTTTTTTCATGTTTTTAATATATCTGAGAATATTCCTATTTAATATATTTGAGGTTATTCGTCTTTCTCCCTTACTGGTTTTTACTGATGTCATATTGAAAAATAACTCCTGCTCATCTTAACATTTCAAGCAGAATCGAGTCGAGGCCCTTGACAAGGGTGGATAATATCAATAATGAAACCTTAAATAATTGATATCATAAACTTTTCTGTGATTTCTCTTCAATATGGTGTGACGAATATAGAACAAGAAATATAGGGAAATGGGAGTATCTACATTTCTGTTGGAAAAAAGTAACTTAGAAAATATTGAAATTTGGGATTGCGGAGAAATTAGAGGTTATACCACATTAACGATATCGGAAACACCCCATTCTATATATCGCTCCAATGAGATTATGAACATCTGCTTTCTACTTTATACTCAGATTTCCGTTTGAACGAATCGAATATGAATGAGTTTTGACTAACCGACTGCGAACTGATTCCGGGATGGTTCGAAAATATGGATTCTATATAAACTTCCTCTGAAACGATTTATAATTTTGTTCCGAATGTGGTCATTGTAAGTTTATGTTCGATTTCGATTTTTTGCCGACCATGCCCTGATCTAATTACGGCCCTGACTTGGATGCATTTGACCGATAATACAACTGCGCATGTCAAAAAAATCTTCAGGATGATATTCCTCAATGTAATAGGTACCTTCTATTTTCTACTGACATTTTCACCATCGATAACACTTGAAATGCTTTTGAGAAAATGCATTGGAATATCGATAGCTTATAATATACGAATATTTTGTAGGCTAGTAGTCTCGTGATCGAGGTTGATTGCTCAAAGTTTTATGGGTTGTCAGATTTTACTAAGTGGCAATGTGATCAAGCAACTTCGACATTGTTGATAACTTGTGATGAGTTGTACTACAGGAGTGATTTGTTTTTCTCCTACTTGGATGTATATTTGCGAATATACTCAATGGCTGAGAAATAAAAATATGACTAAGACCAAATGCAGAGCAGTGAGCTAACACGTTTGGTGTATAGTCTGAAAAAACACTAATAACACATTTTATTGAACATCTGGGAATGAACAGGAAACTAGGTATTCCATGATCTTGACTCCTCTCAGGTCCTCACAACTTGTGAGTATAGGAATGATGAACCCGAGGTACCCTAGCCAGATATTCACCAAGCTTCTACTTGTCTCGGGTGATATCCTCTTCTCTTTTCCTTTTCAAATCTATCCTATTGGTCTTCCTTGGCCAACTTATCTTTTCCTCTTCCTCTCCAAGCCTAACCTCACCATCAAGTGGTGTGGGGAGGCCGCTCGACAGATGAGCAATTTTGGGACCATATTTGCTATCTGCGGGCCAGATGGGACATTTTGTGGACATCTGTGGCAAGAATGAGGCGATTTGCTGATATTTGTCCATAGGTGGTCAAGGACTGGTCAACGAGGCTCTGGCAACCTAATCCAAACTGTGGGAACCTGTGGCGATGGATGGATGGCAGCAAGGTATAGTGTCGCTCACTGGGCCTCTGGGAAACAGGGTTACATCTCAGAGTAAACAGCCTCAGCCACAGGGCTGAACCAACCCCTTTCCCCGTCACGCACTAGAAGGAGGAAAACTTCTGGCCTCCTTCGTAGACGAGAACAGGGATTGGAAGAGTAATCTTCAGGAACCTGAACGCAAATGGTATGTCATATTGAAGTGAATAAGCATCATGAATCGAATCTGGTAAAAATTGATAACGGCATGAAGGTGAGATACAATGAGCCACTAGGTCTAAGTGTCGTCGAAGAAATCGATCAGACGAGCCTACAAACGGGGTGTAGTATTTAGTGGCACTCCCACACTATCAAGTGGGGGAATATGATGTTCATAGAGGATTTCAACCACCTAGGATACAAAAGAGAACAATATGTTCCTGACGTATCATATACATATTAATTATGGATGTCTCAGAGTAATGATATCTGGAAAGTCCACTTACCGCATTTCCCGGAGAATTTGATCGTGATATTCATCTTGGAAGAACATCCAGCCTTCTGTAGCTCGCATTGGTTTGGGTAGTCCATACCATCGGAACCGCAGACGGGACGGGAAGTAGAGTGATCCCCATAAGTGGGACAGGAGTCTGGACACATGCAGGTAGCATTACGGCCGTCCGAAGTCACCACACATCTAGATCCGAAATCGCATTGCTTCTCGCGGCATGGGTCACTCAGTTCTGAAACAAAATGATCAGAATGCAGTATGTAGATGGAATATAACAATGCCAAAAAAATCCATTGGTATCATGATTTTATGATAATTGATAATTGGATAAGCGACTTCATTTGTTCAATCATATCGCCAAGAAATAGAAATTGTTTCATCTTCAACTACCCAATGTATAATATGAATGAATCAAGTATATAACTGCCATCCATCTCAACGTACACTCGATTCTGGAAGAGATTTAGCACAGAAGACCTATAAAGAATTCACGTGATGAGAAGGAAGGAACCTAAGAAGGACTAGGAGAAGATGCTATCTTTTCCGATGCACCAGTATCCACAGCATCCAACCGAATGATTACAACAGATCCATATAATTCGAAGGAAACCTTAAATTCATGAGGAACAATCATCAATCAGTAGTTCTGGAAGTACTAGACATGCTGAATACCGTATATATCAATGCTTGCAGCCAGGGTTGGTATGATATCGTATAATTTAGGAGTTCCTTATTCTACAAGGAGTTCCACACCTTAACACGTATTTCACGAATGGAGGAAATGAGAAATCTAATGCTATCACAATCCCATGATTTTCAAATGAACTACCGATTAGCGATTTGTTCAGGCATTTTCCAAGAATTGGAATCGTTTAATCTTTAAAACTACTCATTGTATATATAATATGAGGAAATTGAGCTAATGACTGTTATCCATCCAAGCATACTCGCCATAGTAGCTCTGGAAGAGGTTCAGCACTGGAAACCTAGAGAGATAGATAATTTGATGCAACAGTCTCCAAGGGAACCCAACATGGACAGGGAACAACAATCAAACGTTCATCCAAATCAATGCTAGGCTCCAGAGTATGTAACGCCAATATATAGCCATGACAACTTTACGAAACAGATAAACCATCTCTTGAGTTTTGTTGGCGTGATTCGATTCCTGCTTGAAAACACAAGCTGATAGAGTCAATTTTACGAAGAGGACTTAGCTCCTTCGTCAATTTTTTCTTATCACTTGGAGCGCACGGAAGGAAATCCCTATGATGTTCAAAGATCATCGTGCGTTCCTAGAGAGGATAGGGACAGGAGGTAGGTATTGGATTCTTTTTTGAACTTCTGGAGATTATATGTTGTTGAGAATACTTCCTCAGGTAATGAATTCCAGAGCCTAGCCGTGATGAAGGAGTTTTGATAAAGTGCTGTTCGACATCTTTCGAGGTTGACAACGAAAGGATGTGCTGACTTGATAATTCGTATGGAACCCTACATGGATATGGGACAACATTCTAACAGTATTTCCGGAAGCACTAGCTCTGCTGAATATCATCCAAATCAATACTATAGGCTTCAGAGTATGTCATATACCGCCAATATAGGTATACGACAGGAAAAAAAAAATTTCAAAGGGCAACCATCTATTGAATACGTCTGGAGGATCACGGGTATCTGATAAAGTGAAAAATAAAGCAACACTGCCAAACCTTGCCTCCCACCAACGTTTCGCGTACGCTCACACGCAAGTAGATATAATGGCAACGTTGCTCACGTGAGTATTCACTTTGATATGTAAAGCCACGAGAATGGGATTCAACCATATCTTGGGTGTTGTTCGCATGATTGGAGTTCTACTTCAAACCACATCAGGTTCATGGAGTTGGTTCAACGGAGAGTACTTAGCCTCTTTGGACAAATTTTCATTTCATCGGCGAAAATGATGAGGATAAGAAAGATGATAAATAGGGTACTTCAATAGCCCTAAAATAATTGTGCTGATGTTCAGAGGCCATTTCATTTGCTGAATGTTGTATGTAGTAATTTCAGAGTAGTTATTATATTCGGAGCTGTGAAAATAGTAGGGTCTCTTGGTATCCGGATAGTGTGTGTTTGGGGACATATTATGTTCTCACTAGACATATAACTCACCCTTGGGAAAAACATAGCAAGCGATGCTCAGGTCTATAATACGGCTAGAGGATAATGACATGAACAACATATAGTGTAGGGCAACTAGTTTCTGCATAGTTTCGGAGATCGCGATTGGATTGAGAGATGTAGCTGATGGATTTTATGGTTTCATCAGATGCGATTAGCCGAAAAGGCTGCCTGAATTATGTTCGGAAAACCAATTAGGCAGAACGAAGCTGACACAAAAAGGAAAGGATAATTCCACGGAAAAAACTTCGGCTTTGTTTGTTTCTGTATTGTTGAGATGGAATTAAACGAAAAGCGCTCGCTGAAGCCGAAAAGCCAAAGAAAATTGCCGGGAATCACATTAATGAAATTTGTAATATTCCGAATAGAGGGGCCAGTGTTAACACGAACAAAACTTTTATTGTTTGTGTCTCATAAATTCCAGGTATTCGGAAGGATAAGATCCAGACACACTTTCCAAGGGCGCGATGCCAGACGACTATACACGATCGACGACGGATAGGGCTTCGCGCACACAGGTCCAGACGTCACTGAGGTGAACACACGGTCTTTAGGTCCTGTTACATAACAAAGTTTCACTCCAAGCAGTCTGACTGGCAGACGGTAGCAACGCAGAGCAAGCGCCATATTGATTTTAACTTCGTGAAACACAACAAGACATTACTGTGTCACAGAGGGTGGCCAACTCGGTTATGATATATTACTTTGTGCCACAAAATACGTGTATATAAAAAGCGCCGATAATAGGTGTTTTACTTGAGACCAAACTTATGGATCAAGGGTTTGGTTGCGGATCACGCTATAGCCGAGTCAGGGATATTTATATGACTTTTGCGGTTTATTTCTTTTGATGTTATGCAAATGCTCTCATTCTTACTCTGAATGGTAGGATAAGTGCTCGCCAAAGAATATTTATGTTTACTCACTTATGATACCGTATTGAGATCCATAGATACCGATAGATACGCATTTTCAATTAACGATTGCCCACAAAATGAGGAATCGATCAATTCAATGGACGATGATTCAGAAATTTCAATGTTGACTGCATAAGAGTTTGATGCTATAGTGTTAGTCACGTTTGACGAATGCCAACCTAGGTGGAAAAATTGCTGCTATTTCGGTATAAAACTATCCATGATATAGAGGAGTTGGAAGTTGTATTGTTCTTGATCTTTGAGTTCAGTCATTCACGAACCAGATGGCTTTCATTTTAACCAACAATCGACCCCATTGTATAGCATCAAATTTTAATATTCTGAGGCATGAAAATATACAAGTATTATTCAAGAGATCGAAGCTTTGTGGAGAATCAAGAGCTACAGTAGGGTGAGATACTTCTCAGCATAGGACACAAATCTCAGGAAAGATTCTTGTTGCCACTGTTTGTATTCACTAGAAGGGAAACCGAAAGTTGCAATGCCAATTCCATAAAAGGTTATTCAGTGCTACTTGAATACTCATAAAAACAAATATTGATGCTTATAAGACTCATAATGGCGATGCATAGATTCCGGGAGGATTCAATTCATAAGGTATTAGCTAGGAAAGTAGTTGTTTTTCTCTCGAAAACTACCATTGTTGTTTATTTCATGAACATTGTGTAGAAATGACTTCGAGCTTTTTGTATTTATTCAAGACTCCATTACACTTTGAGCATTGTGACTATTTCGTAGTTGAACCTACACCAGTCAGGCAACCAGCCACTTTCGTATGGGAATTTTGGTTTTGAAGTGTTTCTTTCCTTCTTTTCTACTCAGATGGCGTTGTTCTCATATTGTCAATGGAGGACGCCTTTGGGGGAATATAATGCCGACTTGATTTTTGTTTGACTAGGCTACGCTGCGTCGGCGGTCTTAGGACTGCTGGCTGGAGACTGCCCTGCACTGATGAGAGTCAAATAGCTCTAAACAGTTCTGTAGGTGTCTAGCGTGGCCTGGCTGAATCGAAATCAATAGGCATTTCTTTGTATTAGTATTCGTTTATACGAGTCGATGCATATATTTCGGGAGGATGTAATTCAATGTTCTGCGTGGCATTAGCCAGGAAAGTAGTTTTTTTTCTCGAAATCTACCATTGTTGATCATTTTATAAACATTATGTGGAAATGACTTTGAGTTTTCTGTATTTATTCAAAATTGACTCACGGCGAAATTTGTACCCAAACATCAGCTGATTCCATATCCCCTTGCGTCTTATGTTGTCAATTTCTCTTTATCTACGCACTATCTAGAAGTTTTAAAGTATCAGCACATTGGTGTTCCCAAACTAGTGCATCTATAACATGGTGCGCTCTAATGTCAACAGAGGCATATATATCATGTGAGTACCTTCGATATGAAAAATATTTTATGCCCATGATTCAATATGGAGTTTATTGACAGACGTTCCGAAACCGAGGCTTCGGTGAATATACTGAAGAAGTTTTAATTTATTTGTTTCTATTCAATAGAATGGATGCCAATATAAAAGGCGCCATCGCAATGAAATCTCTTTTATTTCCGACAGGTTAGCATTAAAAATATCCTTTCTACATGGAATGCAATATAAAAGTGACACTCTAAAAGACATATATAATGGAAAAATATAACAAGAGACGAACGTTGAGTATATTCCAGAGCATATTCGATAAAAGTGTCCGCACGATATGTACATTTCAATTCGAACGTCAAACCTACACATATGGAATGGCTCTCATTTTTTTCAGTTCCGTGAATTTTATCGTTCGCTTCAATATTTGGAAGAATGTTAATTGATAGAGGGTATGTTCGTTGAACAACTTGGTTATTTCGGTTAGTAGTTTTTCGTTCCGTAAATAGAAAATATTCGGTTGGCTCCTGAAAAAAGGGTATTTACTGAACTCGATTGCTGAAATAGCGGTAGTTCCTCTGGTGAGTTCGGTAAGTTTGTGTTGACATTAACCTATTTTAGTTTTCGGTTTTGTTCTTCGGTATAACAAATAACAACAAAACACAATATTCCCATTTTAATTATTGCGTTGAGTTCCGATGGATTCGTTTACTGAGGTAAATGGATAATATTCAATACCTTTGTCAGTTTGATGACGTTCTT